CAATAGGCGAGGAGTTATAGCCAATGCCAATACACAGTCTTCTACATTATATTGAATGCATTGTAGGGGAGGGGGCATATAAGACACACAATCAAATATTGTCAGAAGGGACAAACTTGTTTCTCATCGAGAGACATCAAGTGTAAGAAATTCAAATTTTGAATATTTGACATTTTATTTATAGGGAAGGATTAATAAAATGAACATGTGTATATATAATACATGTGAAGGAGAACTTCAGGTTCTCATATGTTGGAACTACAGGTTCCTTATAATAAGACCATTTTTTTTATGGTTGAGAAAAATATCAAGAATTCACTTCTAACCAAAGTGTTTACAATTGACACATAAAATTCATGATGAGCACTTTATTTGCAAAAATCTTAGTACAATCTTTTTTTTCTTGAACTTCAGGTTCACATCTTCTTTAATTGAAGAATATATATATATTAGTATATGTCATGGAATTTATCTTCCATTCAGCTCCTTCAAAAACCTTCCCTTAGTGTCTACTTACCATCGTGGTATCTTGATAATTTATCTGAATTTAAGCCCATTAAGCATCCGCTCGAAATAATTACCACATAAATGAAGATTAAAAATCTAGTATAAAAGGATATGTTCTCATAATCAAAAGTATAGCCACTAATTCGATTCACTTTGCATATTAACTAGAGCTGCAGGCTCTTTTGTGACTAATGATGTTCAACATAACCAATAAATTGTGTCCATAATATAATATATGACAAATAACATAAAGTTACGAGTTAATTGTCAACAAATATGACAAATATAATGATGCATTATATAAAACATATAAATTGTCATCACGAGTAGTTGATGGGCCCAATCAATTATCCTTGAACAATTTCTAAATATGTATGAAATGAATCTCAAGTTTCATTAGTAATAATCTCATAGTAATCTTCTAATGGGAACAAGACTCTAGGATCTTCTGGTCCTAATAATAACAAAAACTTCTAGTCCTTCAGATAGTACTCACTTGAGTTTTAATGATTTTTTTTATCACATCACAAACTAAATCGTGATAATTTAATTGGTTATGTTTAAAATAAAAATTAGTTCAGTAAACTTCTGGTTTATGTGAAAAACAAATCTTGATCGAGTGTCATGTAATATTCAATTCCACTTGTATCTTAAACATTAATAGAGACACCCTAAACAATAAGGGTTTGTCTATACCCAACAGAATATTTGTCAATGCAGGATAATAACTATTTTCTAAAAAATTTTCAATATTTATGAGACCTTTATTACTTCTATTATGCAGCTCTTATTATGCAATGCTCTTCTGGAGCTATCTATCAGTTTTGTATAAAAAGAAAATTATATCCACACTAACTTCTTTTATCATAAGAGAAAAGAAGCTCTTACATCTAAAAAATATAATATGCATAATCACTCCTTTGATTATAATATACTCCGTATTAACTACATCATTCTTCAGGAACATCGATGAGGAATCATATATACATTAGAACAAAGGTCTTGAAATATCAAAACATCTCTTTTTAATGAGATTTTTTTTTATATACTAAAATCAACCACTTCAGGTGGTAATTGAATATTATAAGACCTTAGGTAGTATCTCATATACCCATATATTGTGTTTGATGAACATGTTGACTCTTATTTAATTTAGGAGATTATACATCTTAAGAATTTCTTTTCAAAATTCAATGTTCTTCAGGAATATTTAGATTCAAATAGTCATTGTTAAAAAAATGTAATTCTATGTGACCATAATAGTGACTTTGATATGTCCATATGTATAACCTCAATAGTTGTGATAGTCTATTATATTCATGCAGGTCAATCAATTTTTCACTCGCTTCAGGGAATGAATATGTAACATGATTTTTTTTTTCAAAAAAAATCTTTCCTAACAATGGGAAAAAAATGTAACCAAATATGCGGTATATGAATCTTTTTCTTACACTACCACTTTAGAGGAAATTAGATTCTCGAACACTATTTTGCAATCTCAATTCACATATAACATGCAATTACATATATTGGTCACACAAATTTTATTGCAACTTAGTAATTGACATTAAAATATAATATTATTGCATAAGGAGAGAATGCATTGAACAATGTATTTTAAAAAAAAGTCATTAGGCCATTTTACTTCTGGAAATAGTAAATACATAAGAAAAGTTTTATTTCTTTATTCTCTTCTAGAGAATATGGACATTTAGAATAAATATCCAATTTGATTCACTTTGGGGACAAAATTTAACACTTTTGTAAAATATAATAATAGTGCCAAAAAAAAAATATAAAGTGAATGATCCAAAATTTTGCCTTTATCAAAAATTAGCTAGGGAATCACATAGCATGAGTTGTGTAAACTTGGCAAATATAAAGTATTAAAATGCACATTTTCGTTCCCTCAGCATCAACAACGAAGATAATCCATAATTGCATATTTGAATGCATTTTTTTTTTCAACATAAAATATGAATGAAGCTACCATTTAACAATGATGCATATCCAAAGTAATAATAATCGTATTTATAATGATGCATATCCAAAGAAATCTAAATGCCATTTCTGTTTATGGTATCTTAATTTACACATACACTAAACTCCTGGATACTTCATTTGATACTTCGTTTGAAAATCCTCTTTTATAAGTCATGAACATAAAAAGTACAAAATATTTATCACTTTTGTGATCTAAGAATAAATATGTATTTTTTTTCACATGAGCACCTATATCCATGCTTGTATACAATCACAGCTTTTAAAAGCAATAGTTCTAAATTTATACGTATATGACCACGGGTCCAACAGTCACAAAAGCATTTCTAGGTCTAACTAGTCAATGTATATGCTCAATAAAACATACTCCAACCGTCTAACCGATATATGATCAACATTCATGATATTACTGTTAGTCAAAATGCAAGGCTAACATCATTTAACTCAAAATATCTAGCAAAGAATGTCTTCATTCAAAATCCAAGAACATATGTACTAATCAATTCTGCCTTAATAAAAAGATTATTTTCAAACATGTATAAATATTGTCATTTACTGTGTACAAATCTATGTTCAGAAAAAGGAGAAAAAAGTGGTTTATAAGATGCAATCTTAATTATTCAAGTTCAGAAGCATTAATCATCTAGTTTCAAAATCTGATTAGACACTCAATGTTAATTAACTACTAAATCAAATACGGAGTAACATACAGTGCTCATTCAATAAAAAGAATGAATTAAACCATTTTAATGTCCAATCAGATTTAAAAGTGTCCTCTAATCTATATTTTTGTTTGCAATTTCAAGCAATTAAACATGCAATTTTAAAATGCAAAGATGCTGAAATTTTGAAATACCTGGACCGTGTGAGAAGAAAATTACTTGAATCGAATTAGTGACCAAGGAGACATATATTCTCACATCGTTAGAGTTGATCAATTCAATCCAATTTTGGATTTTGGAGCTATCATATGCTGGAACCATCACTCGGCGTGTTTGGCACCGGCAAAGGAATCAGGGCGGCTGAAAATGAATAGATCTAATCTGCATCGAACTTTTAAGCCGAATCGATCTCACGTGAAGAAGAAGACAAGCTACACGGTGGATCACGGCAGGCTCGATTGGCGAAGATAAAACTTTTCGGCAATGATTCCCGGCGACGTCTGGCGAATTCCTCCTCTGGCGCAGCTTCCTCTCTGGTCCTATGCTCGACCGGCAAAGAGGAACGAAGAAGATTGATGAATCGTGATGATGGTGATGTAGGTTTCCGGCAATCTCCCTGACTTATTTGATTTCCTCGTTCGGCAAGAGGAAGGAAGACGAAGGAGGCGGCGATGTGGCCTGAGGCTGCGGAGGAGGAAAAATAAAATTAGGGTTTAGCTTTCGTCGTGCTGATAACGTGTTGTGAACTGAGTACTTTATTCATCATATGTCGGGGTATTTATACATACACAAGGAGGAGGTAAAGTCTAGGTAAACAAGGTAACCAGATATTCTAAATAATAAGAGTAATATATCTGCCATATTTAACAATATTAAAAAAATTAGTGAATTAAATACTACCTCCGTCCCGGAGTATTCGTCCAGTTTTAACTTTTGGAACTGTTCATCTAAGCACTTTGACTCATAAAATTCTCTTAATGTGTAAACCTAAATATAGTCATGTGTGATCTTGTTTGATTTGTCTTAATATATAGATTATTAATATATAATTTCTATAATTTTTTAATATACAAATTATAAGATAAAATAGATTAAAGAAGTGTATTGGATAATGTGTAAAAATGAAAGTAGATAAATATTTTGAGACGGAGGGAATAATAACATGAGTAAAATTGGCTAAGGTGTTGGGCCCAGCCATTTTTTGAATTGCTGAAGTGCGATAAAATGAACTACTCCGTACCTTTTTGAAGAGCTTTCAAATTCTCCCCTTTCGTCATTTGCAATTTTCCACTCCACATTTCTTTCTGACTCTGCTTTTCCCCCAATCTTCTTCCTCTCTCCAAAGATTCCCTAATCGATCTCTTCATCCAGATCTCCCTTCCCAAATCACCTTTGAGTGAATTTCACTCTTCTTCAGCGAATCCAAATCGAATCCGATCGGAGAATTCCAATGGCGACTCTGCAAAAATTCAAGCTCTTTGCGACCCAGTGCGCAGTCGCCGGAAGCCCAACCCGGAGCCCGACGACCAGTCCCGTCATCCACTTCCGTCGCCGGAAGACTCTCGGTATGCTGCTCAGCCTCGGCGCGGACCATGGATCGCCGGATCTGCGGAGGGAAGCGAAGGCGGAGGAGAAGGAGATGGCGGCCAGGCGCAAGCTCAAGGATCTGTTCGTGTCCTCGTCGTCGCCGCCGCCGCCGCAGCCTCCCTGTGATAATATGTCGGAGAATTTAAGGGAAGAGCTATTGTCGGCGGCGTTTTACGGCGACGGCGGACTTGGTGGTGGCGGGTCCTCAATTAAACGAGTCGGGTCTCGGCCACTGTCGGCAACTTTCCGGCAACGGTTACTCCGAAGATCTTGGCGACCGGTGCTTATCGCTATTCCTGAGTAAACTATAATTGCCCGGATAATTATAATAGAACAAACAGATTTGCTTTATAAATGAATTTTTGGATTATTACGGAGTTTGTTTTTTTGACAAAAATATTTGGATTATTATTATTATTGCTCTTATTTTATTACGAATTAAGCTGTTTTTTCTGAGGAGTTAAGTTACCTTAATAAATACTCCCTTTCCCATTTCATATTGCATATTTTGAATTTAGAGCATATTTAAGAAAGGGAAAAAATGGTATTGATTTTCCAATAATGCTTTTACTTTTTTAGGGGAATGACGATGAATGAGAAGACAAGGTGGAGAAAAGTGACTTATTTTAGGAGTAGTTTAAGTAATTTACCTTTAAAAGTTTACTACTCCATATAATAAGAAACAAAAAATTTATTTTAGAACGGACAAAAAATGAAAACATGCAATTTAAAATAGTTAAAATAGGATGAAGGAGTATCAATTTGAAAGATAGAATATTATTGATATTCTAATAGAAGTCATATAATAATGCAGGGGTAGTAGGGAGTAGGGACCATTTCTGGAACTAAACAAACATCTTAAGCATTTCAAATGGACCAATGTCATAACACTTTGTTGCTTAATGTCTAAATTTCATACTTTTAAATACTCCCTCCGTCCCTAAATAGATTACAATTTTTTTTTCTCTCCTCTCGATAACTTTTGTTTGTTTACGCGATTTCATCAAGTATTTGATAAAATAAAATATTCTTGTCACCTCTTGTTTTGTAGAACTTTTGACGTAGTTTTTTAATATGTAATTTTTATAGCTTATTGATATACCAATTTATAAATAAAATGATTTCAAAAAGTAGAAAATTTTACTCCGTAACCCGCAATTTGTAATCAAATTGGGGACGGAGGGAGTATAAACTTTGGAGTTCTAAATTTAGAATTTTTGTTTTATTTAAACAGAGCTAAAACATTAAACTTATATGAAGTTATAATATAGGTTATATGAAGTTATAATATAGGATTTCCAATGTTTTTATCCTGATAAATAAGCACAGTGCTATTGTCAAGTGACAATTTTTGAGAAAATGTCCCTAGATTTGAATAGAGTACAATCAAAATATCAATATAGGAATTGTATAGCTTTTATTTTGTGAGAGTGATGACAATATAGCAGTGTAAACGATGGAAGTACGATGGAGGATCTCTGGTCAGTGGTAGTCAACTTCAGCAATTGGCGGCATAAGTCCAATGTGGTAACATGAACTTCTATTTAGGTAACATGAATGAAAGAGTCCTCTTACTATAGTATTTGCATCATCTATTATTCCTATTTAGATACTTTTTCGTTGCCCGAATCAAGTTGTCTTTTTTTTAATTATTAATTTTTGGAACACTTATTTCTTACGTGATTTGGCAAAATTGATTAATCTTACCACATAACCCCTCCAATATACTCTCCAACTCTAGTGCGGCCCAAACCCAACCCTTACTCTTTCAATTTTATCCTCCAAATTTAATTAAATTTAGGGTAAAAAAATTGACTTCAGCGTAATTAAATTTTGATGGCACAATGGGAGGGGTTGGAAGTGGGATCGAGTCGAATTAGGGTAGGGGGTTAGGAGTATAGGAATATCAATTTTTTGTTTCATTGGAGGCAAGCTACAAGCTAGCCAAATTAAAGGACCATGGCGTTGTCATAATCTAGTTTTGATATGTTAAGAGTAACTCCTAAAGGCCGCTTGGAGGCGCAGGGAGAGTGTGCAATCTCATACTCATCCCAAGTTCAATGTTTGCAAGCCAATCTGCACACTTATTATCTTCACGATAGACACGACGAATCACATATTTGGATTTATGACGCAAAATTGTGCTACGATCTTCAATAGGAACTCGCAAACTACTATGTGTCACATCCCCTCATCACGGATGAGAGTAATTATAATTACTTGAGAGTCCATCTCAATTTCCAAACATTCAATCTCAAGATCTCTCTCGCAAGTTTACACCCTTTGTGTAAAGCCACAACTTCAGATACAATATTTGCGGTGATACCAAGATTCGCCACGTACCATGTTCAATTTGGCATATTATGTTGGGTTTGTGGGGGCTTGGTAACTCGAGCATATACAACGAACCACTCTTCCTTCCGCGGGCCATGACAAGATTTCCCTTTACGACCTTCCACTGCCCATCTCTGAACTTCACCTCGTGTCCCTGTTCGTCCAACTGCCTCACAGAAATCAAATTTTTCTTTAAGGCTGAGACCATTCTGACATCCTTCAAAGTCCAGAAATTTTTGCTGAGTATGGAGAGTGTTTGTTCTCAGGATGTTCCAGGATTCGACAGTGTGCGTCTGCAGTGGGAGCCGGTAGGGACCGAGGACGAGTTAGGAGCAGATTTAGCCGTGACTGATGTGTTGGAGCTGTGGAGAGCTTCAACGGGGCTTTCAGTTGTTAATGAGAGAGCCGCTGCAACAGGAGAGCTGAGGAAGTTACTCGATGTACAGGCAATCGTGGCAGATGGCAGTTGATGCCTATCAAGCCTCCAAGTGAGAGAATGTTGGGTTTGTGGAGGCTTGGACTTGACTTGTTGGCCCGGCCCATGTTATGAAACCCTAGATGCGCTCTTCCTATATATATTACATACTTGTACTTGTAATTGATGCCACAAGTGAAATAAGAAATTCCCCCTGTTGCAGCCGTGGATTAGGAAAACTAAACCACGTTAAATTCTTGTGTGTTGTTTGTGTTCCGTTTCTCTCGTTTCTCGCAAATTATTTGTGTGCGTTGTGTGTAATTCCCAACATGTTAGCACCAAGCAGTGTGTGGTACAAAATCTCTTGGTGAGCTTTCATCTTAAAGGCCTAATTTATCTTCAATGTTACACTCAAAATTGGATTTAAACATTAATTCGACTATATATGGACTTATCCGGCCATTTTCAATATCATCATTCCCTCCAGCAAGTGGCGGTGTTAGATTTCTAAAATAAAAAACTCTTTAAGGAGTCTGTTCAAAACCAACTCATTTTAAAATAAAAGAACTATCTTTACAGATTAAAAGGGAATTTCTGTTCAAAACCAACTCCTTTTGAAATAAAAAAAAAGGTAGCAATCACGCGTTAAGAACCAAATAATTCGAATTAAATTTGTCCCATTTTAAATTGCTTGTTTTTCTTTTTTTGTCCGTCCCAAAATAATTTGCATGTTTCTTATTATAGTAAATTTTTAAGGGTAAAATTTCTAAACCATCCCTAAAATAAGTCACTCCTCTCCACCTTGTCTTCTCATTCATCGACACCCCCCTAAAGAAATAAGGGCATTTTTGGAAAATCAATAATATATTTTCACTTGCTTAAAATATGCCCCAAATTCAAAACAAGCAATTTATAATGGGACGGAGGAAGTAAAAAATATGCTTTATAACCATCCATGAAAAACAGTCATCATATTGATTTACAACGGGCCATCATATCTTAAAAAATATACGTTAAATCATCTCGGAGCATGTTTACAAACAACGGAGCTTACAATTTTATAGAACTAATGGCATATAAACGACAATATTAACAAATTTATAGAACTAAAGGCATAAAAACACAAGAGTGAGAAAAGTTGGGAATACGAGTGGAATCTATACATGTACTTGAAAAGGAATGCAGACAGGTGCCATAAATTCATAACTAACTCAAAAAGTTAGTAATAGATCAAATTTTAATTCACTGTTCTATTCCCTAGATGAATAAGTAGAATCCAAATCATTAATTAAGTCTACAAACAACTTGCCCAAAAAATAGAGTTGTTAACTTGAGAGAGAGTTGTTTTTATTTATTTATTTTAATTGTTCCAATTTTAATTTGATTCTTTTCATAAAGACTAATATCAGGTAGTGAGATACATGTTTAAAATCTGGTTTTTGATGGTTTATTTTAATTAATCACAATTGGTATTAAGTAATCTGAATATGAATATTATAATTATTAAGAAACACATTTGGGCATTTGGCTTTGTTTTGGCCTTTGTTTTTTGTATTCTGCCCGTCCTAGTACACGGTCTTAGGCTTTCTAAGGTCCATCTTATTCTCGCATTTTCTAAGACCGTGTTTTTTAGGTTCATTGTGAGAGTAGGGACTTTTTCTTCAATTGCCGCATCTTCTATCACCCTCTCTTTCTCAGATTGAAGATTCCATCTTATTCCATCTTTTTTTCTTATCTTTGCACATTCTCTTCCTACGCCTCCAAAAACCAAAAAGAAGAAACAGAAAGGATCCCAAGCAGGAACTTCAAAAAGTGAAGTTAAGTTTTTTCTTTTGATTTTGTTAGCAATGCGCCTAAAACCTTGTGAATCGATTCCTACAGTTAGGTTTTCTTCAAAAAGTTATTTACAAACTATTTCACCAAAATGTTACTGAATCTCTGGTACTATATATCAATTTAATTTTTGATTTGTTTGACTTGAGTGATCTCGTTAGTTCTTTTGATAGGATTTTTTATTATTTAGACTTTGGCGTTTTTTTTACAATTTTTGCTTATTCAATGTAAGAGGCTATGTTGTCCTACATGTGGTTGTCCTTAACTTTAACTTATAGTTTAGTTGTGCTTTAAATTAGGGACCATAAATTCTATATTTACCATATGCTTAGTGCTGACCTAGTTTGTTGTGTTTGGTAGTTGCAAAGATTGGATTACTATTAAACATTATTCTCTATATTTTATTTTCTACTTTTTTTTGTTCTTTTTTAGCAATTAGTATATGCTAATATGCCTCTTGCCCACAAGTTTAAACTTCAGTTGGACCCAGAGTTGCCTATCTCTCGTGAGGAGAATTACGTAGCCATGGTTAGATCGTTTTGTGCTCTGAATGGATGCAAAATTTCTGGAACTTCTGAGGCATGGATCCAGCGGGGTTACCTTGTTTTTGAACTTGAGATAAGCTACGGTCATTACAAATCCAAATTTCTAATTGAAAGAAGTTCAATATACATAATTGGTTACATGTACCGAAATAAGTGGGAGATTTTTAGAGATACAGTTTATGTAATGGATGGCATTCCCAGGTCTAAGACGGGTAGTAGTTATGAGAATGATTTTACATCGACTTAAGGATTTTTGCCAATGTTGGAAGCTTCGAAATTGATGGGGAGTGAATCAGCTTGAATTAGGAAGAAAGCGTGTGGAGTGTTTTTCATTAATATTTCTGAGGCAGTCCGGTTTAAAATTATTCAATGTCAAGTGTATGAAGGGCTCTGCAATAGTGGGTGTAAAAGGCCTAATACCAGCCACTAAAAGAGGAATGCTTCAAGTCGTATGAAGATGCCCTAATTCCTGAAGGAGAGAAAGGTGTGAGGAAACTGATTGAACCTGAGGAGAGTTTGCCTTATTGTGATTTTAAAAAAACTTTTGGTTTCATAAATTATCTTGTGAAAAATTGGGAAACTATATCAAAAGTATTGTGGGTGTATGGTGACACGGGTGATAAGTACTTTGACAAGGTTTCAACGTCAAGGTTAATGGAGGACTGTCAAGTATTTGATATCGTTACGTTGAAAGCTTGCATGAGTCTTCTTTCAAGTGTTGATATGGAATATATGGAGAAGCCGGTGCTTGTTCCACAGAGCACTTCACAACAGTTCATGAGATGTAGTGGAATGGAAAAAGCGGAGGACTTTGCTTTGATGGTAAGTATTACTGCTTTATACTCCGTAGTTTTTAGTATTACATTCAAACCTGGTTTGAATTGTTTATTGATTTTTTTCCTTTATAAGCTGGTATTTTAAAAAGAGTGGAAGCTTTGCAACAATTGAGTGAAAGCCACAGAAGAACTCAATTGTTGCAAAGGTTCAACTCTCTTTAAAATACAAACCTATTAAGGAAAAAACAAAAATCAATAAACAATTCAAACCAGGTTTGAATATAATACTAAAAACTATAAAGCAGTAATACTTACCATCAAAGCATCAAAGCAAAGTCCTCTGCTTCTTCCATTCTACTAACATCTCATGAACCGGTGTCAAATGCTCTATGGTTTTAGAATCACGTTCCAGGTCAACAAGCACCGTATTCTCCATACATTCCTTTTCAATATTTGCAAGAAGACCCATGCAAGCTTTCAACGTAACGATATCAAATACTTGACAGTCCTCCATTAACCTAAACATTAAAACCTTGCCAAAGTACTTATCACCCGTGGCACCATACACCCACAATACTTTTGATATAATTTCCCAATTTTTTGAAAATAATTTATGAAACCAAATTTTTTTTAAAAAAATCATAATAAGGCGAGCTCTCCTCAGGTTCAATCACTTTCCTCACACCTTTCTCTCCTTCAGGAATTAGGGCATCTTCATACAACTTGAAGCATTTCTCTGTCAATGGCTAGTAGGGAGGCCTTCTGCACTCACTATTACAGAGTCATCCATACACTTGACGTTGAATAACTTTAAACCGCACTGCCTCAGAAATATGAATGAAAAACACTTCACACGCATTCTTCCTAATCCAAGCTAATTCACTCCCCATAAATTTCAAAGCTTCCAACATTGGCAAAAATCCTAAAGTCGATTTAAAAGCATTCTCATAACTACTACATGTCTTACACCTAGGAATGTTATCCATTACATAAACTGTGTCTCTAAAAATCTCTCACTTATTTTGGTACATGTAACAAACTATGTATAATAAACTTCTCTCAATTAGAAATTTAGATTTGTAAGGACCGAAGCTTATCTCAAGCTCAAAAACTGGGTAACCCCGCTGGACCCATGCCTCGAAAGTTTCAAAAATTTTGCATCCATTCAAAGCACAAAACGATCTAACCATGGTTATACATGAAAGGTAACCATGCAAGGATAGGCAGCGGAATATATAAAAATTTTAACATCCTAACATGATTATCTTGTCCAGAATCACGTACTAAAACTTATAGTAAATAAGAAATTTATACCTTTCTCCGTAAGCGGTAAAAACGAAGAAGTCGTAGGAAGAGCGTTGAAAGTGCAAACGTAACCGTTCAAGCGTCCGGTCTCCAACTTTGACACACGAACAACGCCGGAGTCTACCACAATCTTTATGCTAGTAAAGATTATAGTAGTATAAAATATAAAGATTAAAATTGGGATAATAATAATCTTGTATATTTCTATAGAAAATATTTCTAATAATATTTAGAAAATATTATAGATATTTTCTATACA